ATCAGGGGGGCGGTGACGCGCGGCTCGCCCTTTGGGGCAGCAGGGGTCAGGCTGCAGACGGGTGTTAAGGCTGGAATGCCAAAATGCTGGAGGGATCACGTGGAAGGACGAGGTTCGCCGGACGAGCTGCGGCCCTTCGCTGCCCAGAGGGGCCCCGCGGGACCGGGGCTTGGTGTGCTGGGCGCTTGGTGAGCTGGGCGCTTGGTGAGCTGGGCGCTTGGTGAGCTGGGCGCTTGGTGTGCTGGGCACTTGGTGAGCTGGGCACTTGGCCTGCGCTGCTCGCCGCGGTGCGAAGGGCACAGCCGGGCTCACCTGGGGCGGGGGATCCCCGCCTTCCCCACGGCCCATCCCGCGCTCCGTGTCCGTACCTCTGGGAAGGGAGTGTCACCCTCCTCCGGAGTGTGGCTGTCACACAGGGGCCGTGAAGGTAGAAACCAGCAGCTGGTCATGATAGAGGGTGCGGGATGTGCCCAGGAGGGCAGGGCTGGGCCACGAGACACGGCTGATGCCACCTCGGTATAACACATCAGAGCTGCGGATGTGTTAGCTGACAGTAGCTCAAATGTTTCCCGTCCTTGTGTGGGAAAGATTTAATTGCTTTAATTTCTGGAGGGAAAGCAGGCTTGTTAACGTGGGCTGGTGCTGCTCTCACTTGAACTGCAGTGCCTGCAGTTTGTCAGTTTTTCAGGAGCTCTATCAGAACTTCCCAGCCTGTTGCAAATTTCCCATTGCAGAGTCTTTATGGTAGTTAGGGTAGGAAATAGCAGGGGGGAATTGCTTTATGTGGGTAAAATACCTTGAAAGGTGGCCTTTGTTTTTCTTGTGTTCTGATGGGCTTAAATTCTAACAGCAGAGGTCGGCAGTTGGTTGGGACCTCTTTAATACCACAGCTTTACCCTGCTGAGTGTTCTTGTCAGAAAAACATATCTTTTTCTCTAGTTGCTTTGCCTTTTGTGTTAGCAGAGTTATTTGTGGCAGACATATCAGGAAACTGACCCAGATCGAAATTATCTTTGGTTTGGTCTCACCCTGATCGGTCCCCTGATATACATCACCAGGTAGAGGACCTCAGGCATTGCAGGCAGTAGAAGGGAAGACAGAGATGACAGTGAATGGTTGGAAACTACAGATGGGCTTCTAGTCACACTTTCAGAATTAAAATGCCTGTGTACTGCTACCTTTAGCTTGGTTTTGTGATGAAAGTATCAGTTGTGCCAGCTATGTGCCTGAATGCTCATTTTAGCTTTTTCTCTTTGCTGTTCAAAACTAAAAGCAGAAAGTAAATTTTACTTGTTATTTTTCCCTTGTGGACTCTGGTACAAAAGAAATGAAGTTGGGTTGCAGATATCCAGAATTATTCCTTCCAGGAAAACTTTATTTTTTCAAATGTCTTTATTTAACTGTCTTTGGTTTTTTTTTTAATTGTGGAAGCTGGATTTTATAAGATCCTACAGTTTGGACCATACTTTCATGTTCAGATATCAGTGTATCCTTTATAAACATGCATCGTGGACCCAGCCTTATCCTCTTGTTTTGTTTGTTGCCTATACTCTGTGAGAATAGCCCTGATTTTATCTTGCTGCATCACTTAGAAGCATCATTCTCTCTCCAGCTTGTTTAATGACTCAGCTTGTCTTCCGCCTAAGTTGAGGTCATGTTTCTGAATGGCTTTTTGAAGAAGCACTAACAGGTGCTGCATGCACTTCTGTAATACCTACTTTGTAGTTTTGCCTGGAATGTGTAGGCTGGAAAAGATAGGTGGAGCTGAAAATGATGTTAAAGCTGGTTGAAACCACGGACTGAACTAATACAGTAGTGCACCTCAACAGCACCTCTTTCCATCACAAACATGTCTTCATCACCTGATGGACAAACGAGAACTTGTTATAGTCTCATAGGCAGGAGCACTGAATAGAAGACTTGCATAAAATAACAAGCAGGTTTGGGTTTTGGTGTGGGGTTTTTTTTGAGTTGGTTTATGTGGTTGTTTTTTATTCCCTAACCAACCTTAAGTAGGCCGTTTTGGTTAAGCCTTTATTGAAAACACAGAAGTCTTGATGTTTGTACAAACCATACAAAACAAGTAAGACTGGTAGCTGAAATCCCTTAGAGAGCAGCTGCTAACAGATGCTTAGAAAGGAGATCTTCCTTCCTATATTTTGGCACTATACCAGAAGACTCTGGTTTAGCAGTTTCTTTGCAAGGCATTCTGTTTGGATTACTTACTTGAAAGGAACTGACACATCTGTTTCCCCTCACACACCTTCTGCTTCATGACTTTGCCTTTTGATTTAGTTGTTTTCAGCCTGTTTCTACTTTCAGCATCCATTTTATCCTGTTGCAGTGATTTCCACAATTTCATGCTGGTTAATCCCAACCCCAGTGCAATTAATGCCTCGAACCACAAAATGCTCTCTTGTTCTCCTAACATGGAGTCATTATCTCCCTACACACTATCCTTTTTATCTTCATCGGATCAGTAGCTACTAAAAGCCAGTTTGTTACTGACTAGCACAGTATGTTTTGGAATTATAAAATATTGTCTGCTTCACTAATGTTTCCTTGCCTACCAGGAACATGGTTTGCACCACTGTCTCCTGTAAATGCATGTTTCAACAAGAACTTTCTTTTTTACAGCTAAGCCATTAGCAGGTTGCTCCCCTCAGGCATTGTTGTAACCATGATTTGTGTGTACATTTTTATCGAGTGTTTGTCCAGTTTCCTAATCTCTAATTTAGGACAGCAATCTATAAAAACAATATACAGGTGTGGTGGTGGAGAGGACACCACCTGCACATTCCATGTTCTGTGGAGCACTGAAATATTGTTTTCACTGTGACTGCAGCCTAGGTTGTGTTCATATTTCTTTTTCTTTTTTTCTTTTCTTCTTTTTCTTTGGCACTCATTAGGAAATACTTAGGAATGAAAATTCTTGCTGATATTAAGTAAGAAGAGTGTGTATCTGGTGCATTAAAGTGCAAAAGGAGCCCCTTTTAGGTGAGGATTTTCATTGTATCCTCACCATAAGACACTGAATTGTTTTGGTCTACCCCCACCAGACTTCTCTGAAGCAGCTGGTTAATTCTTAAGGCTTTGCAGGGGTATCTTGCATATCCTTCCCCTTTCTGGGGAAAACCAAAAATAAAACTGACTAAACATAATTGTATTTTTTAAAGAGGGAAAGGAAATTTTGATCCTCTCCTTTCATGGTTGCTTGTGGAAGGGTCTAGTTTTGGTAATCCTTCAAGATCAGCCACAGATCTCTCTAAAACAGCAGAATAGCTGGATGGAAGAGACCTTTAAAGGCCATCCTGTCCAGTCTCTCTGCCATCAACAGGGACATCTTCAGCTAGAATTGGTTTCTCAGAGTTCTGACCTTGAATATTTCCAGGGATGGGGCATCCACCACCTCTCTGGGCGACCTGTGCCGGTGTTTCATGACCCTCATCATGAAAAAAATAATAAAAATCTTATATTTAGTCTAAATCTGCCCTCTTTTATAAAGGCATGGAATTGTAGAGTGGTTTGAGAGGCTAGAATTTTAGACAGCAGTGCATGCTAACTGTAATTATTACATTGTATAGAATTATAACTATTTGAAAATTAATCTCGTAGCACTTACAGCATGATCTAAGCAAAGAACTGGGAACTGAGGAAGACAGGAAAAGCATGAATTATGATTTGCTTTTTGGGCAATAGTGATTTACTATAGTGATAGCAAAAGGGGGCAGGGGCCCCAGGGCTCTCCTGCAGAGGGCGAAGGGAAGGAAAGGAGGCTTGTGATGGCTAGCTCTGTAGGATTGTTCAAGAAATGGTGTAGTGAGTTTATAAAAGGGTGTCATACCTTGCTGAAATGTGCTGTTTAGAAAGCCATACATCTAGGGAGACCAAAAAGCAGGAAAGGGTCCAGGTTACTTCACCTGGCTCAACTATCAGCTGTTTGGAGGGAGAGGAACATTGGTGAGATGCTGTCTCTGCCTTTCTCTCTCTCTTTTAAAAAGACTTGAAAAAAACATCAGCAAACCCAAACAAACAACCAAACCACCTCTAAAATGAAAGAGGCCTGCTAGAGGGCAAAATGAGGGGAAGATATTGACAGTTACAATATTATATGGACAGCAGGCACACAGCTGAGCTTTGTGGGAGAGAGAAAAGAAGCTGAACTGGAGCAGCTTGTATGAGCAGGGAACGTGTGTGGAGGGGAGAGAGTGTGAAGGAAAAAGCATTACCTGACTTGGAAAAGAAATGTGAAGTACTGAGTGGAGTGGGAAAGTCAGCCAAAACTCATGAGTGGGGAACAGATCAGCTGTGAATGGGAGAAGGAGGTTATTTTACATGAAGTAAGAAGGTACAAGAATGCCAACACAGCTCTTTCAGAGAGGGCTTGTTGGAGAGACAAGGATGCTAAAGGAACACAGAATCCTTGGTATGCATGAAATGCACTTGCACCATGGTATGATTATTTGATTATTATTTTTATTTTTTTTTCATCCATGCTGTCTTCCCTGGTGTTATTGAGGTTTGAACAGCCCCTTCCCTCATCTTGCTGTTAGTACAATTGCACAGTGCTTTGCATTGAACAGAAGCATGGGAAATGATCCATGTTTAGGGGGTAGAGGAGGTGGAAGCCCAGTCAAAATGTCTCCCTCTATTCTGGATGTGATCCAGAGGGACCGTGTAAACGAGGGCAACACTGTTAGGTGTGGATTGAGGAAGTGAGATTATGGCTAAACGTGATGAGTAATTAAGGAACTGAATCTTTAAATACTGCAAAAGCTTGGCCTGTTGAACTCTCAGGACTTGAGAGCTGTGCTTGAAACAAGTTCTAAGAGGTTTCCCTGACACATGTAGTCTTTTGCAGCTGTCCATGCTCTTTTGTGGGGTGAAGTCATGGGAGCAGAAGAATGCCTGCTGTTCAACCCCCATTTTTTCCTGAAGGAGAGGCGTGTCACACATACCTGTCAAACACTACATGTACATGGCTTTGTTTTGACATGCTCTGGGTCAATAAATGACCAATTTTAATGTATCGAATCTGTGTGTTACAGGATTCTGAGGCTGTAGTATCTTCAGACATCCCTTTGAATTGAAGCAGAGAAGCATCCCCCTCTCCCTCCCTGCCTCCTCCCCCTCAGATTTCTGTTCTCTTCTAGTTCCCTGAGAATAGCACCTTGGTCTGGCCAAATAATACATTTGCTTGGGCAGGCTGTAACTTTGGGCAGAGAATATAAACACCTCATCAGTGAAAAGCTGGTAATTATTGAGAGCCTCCTGACCTTAATTATTTCTGCTCAGCCATGTCAGCATTCTCAGATGCTCCCACTTCTCTAATTTGAAAACCACTTGGGTCCAGTGTGGGAAGCCATCAGGGGACATCCCTGAATGGACAGCCAGGGACGTGAGAAGGCAAAGGAGATAGCAGCAGGAGCTGTATGGGAGGGTGGATAGCAGAGAAAATCCATGGTTATTTGGAACCTTTGGTGATTTGGAAAACTGTGTTTTACTGATTAATACATTAGAGCATTCATTAATCTGCTAAATGATAGTTGAACTGAATTTTGGTTCTTACCACTTTGGGTTAGATTTGAACTGATGGCCTAGGGATGAAGTGTTCCAGATAGCATTTCTAAGCTCTCTGACATATTATTTTCTTACTAGGATCTTTTTCCTTTCTCTTTAACTGTGGGGGGATACCAATACATCTGCTACAGGTGCTAATGGATGCAGATGATCCCAGCTGGGAAGATGAAAATGCTCACCCTTCAGCCAGATATCAGCAAGGGGCAGATAGAGTGCTTTAGTTCTGGAATCTGGAGGGACTGTTGCTTTGATTTTTCCCAGTCAGAGCTAACGGAAACAGACTTGAATCAGTCTGAATGATCATACCTGTACTATAACTTGCAACTGGAAAAACACTACTGTTTTGTCAAAGAGACCTATTAGGAGAAGCTCGAGATAAAGCTGATGCATTTGTTTATTTTTGTATATATTGCATTATGCTTGCTTTGCAAGAAGCTAAATGTAGATCTCAAGCTATCTTGTCTTAATTAATAGAAGTATGTCGCTGTAAGGACACCTCACAAAACCCTGCAGATGACCTTTGTGGCACTTCACAGAAATATTGGTAATAAAATTGGCAATGTCTTTCAAATACTCTTTTAAAAGACAGCAGTGAAACAGGTCATTTCTCATGGCCTTTCTTCTCATAGGTCTGGAGCTGCCCTGTTTGAGATTCTCTGTCATTCTCCATGTAACAGAGTTATTCTGAAAGCCAATGTATGTACTGTAGTAACTTTAGTACGTGGATTATATCACAACTAAAATTATCTCAGCTTCAACAAAGTCCTAACTGTGCTTTAATGTTCTGAAGTACCCGAGTAATGGCTGACAGCCCTCTGTTTTTGAAGGGCAAGTGGAGGTAGCCACAGTCCCCCTGCACAATGTGAGACCAAGTGAGCTTGTACTGTGAGAGACCCTTGAGTTCTCTGTGCCTCCTTGGGGCTTTTGGTGATCCTCAGTCCTGAGGTAGCCACAGGCACCTCCTGTTCTCCACAGGCTCTATCCTTTCCCCTTCATTGGAGGAGTAGAACTTTTTCAAAAGGTGGCTAAAAATTCCCTCCCTAGTTTAACCACATCCCCCAAGACAAGATTCCTTTGTGTAACTAGACTAAAAGGGAGAAGAAACCTAGGAAACTCGACTAATTCCATCAGTAAGCATCCAAGATGTATTGCTGTCATCACTTGACCTGGATTTCTATAGTGTGATCTTTGCAGGAGTTACCAAATACTAGTATATTAAATGTCCATTGGAATATCTCCTCATCCTCTTTCACCTGCTTAAGGCTTCTTACATGATCTTTGATAACAATATTTTCTTGGTTTCCTTGGATTAAGGGAGGAGACAGCCTTGCCAGTTTTGAAGAATGTTTCAAGCTTTCTAGATTTTCATTTGCATACAAATCCAGAGCTTGCACCTAAAGTGAGTTCCTGATTCTTTGCCTGTCTTTTCCTTCAAAGCTGGGTGAAGCAGCCAACCATTTGACTTTGATAACAGTGTATCAGCCAGCCTGAAATACATGAGGAATTTTAAATAATAGCAAAAATGCTATTCAGAACTGTACTTTCCTTAAGCATGTTGCTGCTTAGTGTGTTTTGTGACCAGCCTAACTGGAGGCATAACTTTTTTTCTACCTCAAGACAGTGAGTAAAATGATGATGAGACATCAGACAGTCTGGAGGAGCAGCTGCACCTCATCTGCATTCTCACTGCTGCCTTTGAACTGAAGGATGGCTGCCATTTTCCCTTCTTCCCCAGCAGTGACACTGGGTTTAGTTGAGTGTGAATAAATCTCAGCACACTGAAATCTGATCTCTTGTCTAATCTGCTTAATAGCCTTTACTGGTCTTAGGAAATACATGGACACATGTTGGTCAATTTGTGCTGCAGGAGAGGAGTTGCAGAGGTGTAGTAGTACCACAGCAGCTTTCCCTGAGCAGTGAGTGGAGTGGGAAAGGATTCAGCTTTGTGACTGCTTTGTGGGTGTTTTGCTTGTTTAACCTGCAAGTTGCATTTCCAGCATTTTTACCTGATTTTGTTTTCATGAACAGCACTTCTGAATGCTAAGGGTACCTCTGGAAACTACATGAGGCAAAAATGTTGCCTGTGCTTTGTTCCAAAGGTGTTTTTAAATAATTTTTAACAAAACCTAATTCCTACACAAAGCCAGACTGACTGCATATGAAAATACTGCTTTTGAAAGTAATGACTGCAGAACAGTTCCTCTGAACTGAAAAATGGTGCTAATGTAACAACTTGGTTTGAAAATGATGATGTATATTACATAGATAGTTTCTCCTTTATATTTAGTGAATTACTTAAGTTTTTTAAGCCCTGTCCAAAGTGCCTATGTAGTCAATTTTTGTGTGTTGGAAAAAATATCTTTCCCTAAAGGCTGTTGTCTTTATTTAGTAAAAAAACTTAGTGGGTTTTTTTATATCTATATCTTATACATAGGTGCAAATCATCTAGGTCATCTAAGTTTGTCTGTCACACAAACTGCTGAAAGCTTTAGTAAGTGCATTCTTTTTAAAGATTATTTTTATTTTTATAACATTTTTCAGCACAAAGAGAGCAAATAATTACAGAAATACTGTGGGTTTAAGGTAGAAAATAAAGTCAGTTGACACAGAAGAGGGGCTAAAGGTTTGGGTTTGGTTTTGTTTAAATAAATAGAAGAATCTGTGTTCCACTAGTGTATCTGGAATAGTTCACTACAGTAGTTACTATAATCCATGTGGAAATTAGTGTTTGGTTAGCCCATTAATTAAGTAACAAATAGCACAGTATAGTACAGTTTTGTAGTGAACATTATTTTGCCTTTAATGAAACAGACTATCACCTAAGAAATTGGGAACTACATGGTGACCTTTTATGTGAATCTCTTTCAGGCACCTTTTTGGGCATACATCCTGGGTGCTCTAGGACTTTTTATCTACCAGTCTTTGGATGCCATTGATGGGAAGCAAGCCAGAAGAACAAACAGTAGTTCTCCTCTTGGAGAACTCTTTGATCATGGTTGCGACTCTATTTCCACAGGTAGCCTTAACTTACTGTCACCCATCCTAGTTTATAAAAGTTACCTGCTTTCTGGACCAGCTGATTAATCACAGAATTGTTGAAGTTAAAAAGGACCTCTGGAGACAATCCAGTCCTAACCCCTTCTTGGAACAGGGTCTTCTAGGATAACTTCACCATCTCCTGACCTTTGCATCCCTGGCCAGTAATTTGGGGTATTTTAGAAGTTCCTTTGGCAGATGTTGGGTAAGATGTATTCTGCTCTTACTTAACTGTGCGTCTTCACGTAATCCACTTTCAGAGTAAGGTGCCAAAATACCAGTTTGGTAATAGGGCAATCCAGCCTGGCACTGAGGAGAAGGGTAATTTATATTCCTTAGAAGAAGTAGTTTTAAAAAAGTTGTGAGTCCTTAAAAAGTAAGCCTTTCTCAGTTTCACTTTCTGTAACTGAGCTGCTATTGGTGCCAATGCCTGTAGTTCTTCTGTAAGGCTCAATAGCTGAAACAGTTGCTAAGAACAGGTATATTCTTTATGTCTCACTTCCCAGAGAAGAGCAGCTGCCTGTCTCCCTAAGCTTGGCCCTTCAGCAGAAGTTGTCGGTGTTGTAAAGAACATGAGATGACAAGGCCAGGAGGAGAGAGAACAACCACTGTAGGATAGAGGGCAGGGCCCTGCCTTGGCAGAAAAGGAGGGCTGTGTTTTGGTCTCTCCTGCCAGGATTGCTCCTGAGGGTCAGCTACTCAGTAAAGTCAGTCATAGCATTATTTTTTTAGAGTGATGTAAAATGTCCTGTTTTTTTTAATTTATTTTTTAAATTTCTCTTAACTTCAAGCAAAGAGGGTATATGACTAACATGTTCATTTCTGCTTTTCAGTATTTGTTGTCCTTGGATCCTGCATAGCAATCCGACTAGGAACAAATCCTGACTGGTTGTTTTTCTGTTGTTTTGTGGGACTGTTCATGTTCTATTCTGCTCACTGGCAGACATACGTATCAGGCATGCTAAGGTTTGGAAAGTAAGTAGGTATCTTTAGAAGTATATATGACTTAACGTCTGAGACTGCTAGCTTCTTGATTTCAGTTTCTTCTTGGTTTATTCCCTGCTTTCTCTTCCTCTCACCTTCTTTCTCATCTCCCGTCCAATCTAGCAGACTAGTGTTTTACCTGACGAGAACTTGAAATTCTGCATAATACCAAGGACTTGTTCTTTTAGCAGCTGATTTTAGCTCTGTATATTTTGTTTGCATGCATTTGGCTCTTTTGTCTGCATATTTGTTGTCAGAACCCATACTAGCACTGTGCAGGCTCAGGGCAGAGAGCTCTTGTTTACATTGCAGACAAGTGCCCTGTGTAGGAGTAAGGGAAGAGCAAACATCTGGGTACCTCCCTTTGTAATCTCACAGCCACAGAACCATTTCAGCCCCAGAGGACTGACTCTAAATCATACGCATTTTAGAGAAATTCCCCTGCCAATGGGTTTCCCTTTCATAGGCATCTTCAGTCTTCCTTGGAATGAACTCTCCACACCCACTGCATCCTCAAAGAGTTCCACAGGTCTATGGCAATGCTTGAAGAATTACTGCACGTTTATTTGAGGGCCTTTTTTTAATCTGGCTCATATTTGCTTTGATGTTCTTTAGGTTTTGTGTTAGGTCAGTTACAGAGACTGCTGTGAAGCTGTTCATGACTTGATAGAATTTTTATCTGTTTCACTGCAGCATAGGAGCAGAAGTCACGACATTCATGTAGAAGGCAATAATTTCAGTTCAACTGCTGATAGTGTGGGGATTGATGCACCTTCCTATAGCTGTGCTAGTGCCTGGCTGTGGCCTTTCACTGGTTTTAAGCAATGAGCTTCACTTTAGTATAATTACTTCTGAAAAGAGGAAAAGATCTGAGACTTCTCTGGCAGCAGAACTGAAAATAAGTGATACATGAAGGCTGTCCTTCTGCTAATCCCAGTCACTTGCTAAATCACCTCTTCATGGTCCTACTTAGCTCTGCCCTGCAAAAAGTGCTTTAGCAAATCAGCAGGCACACAGGCTGGTGACCAGCTGTCCCTGCACACTGCGTCAAATGGAGCTATCTCTGTGATGTTGATAAGAGCTCATTTTTATTTGCTGGTAATGCATTTTACCACACAAACGGTAATTCCTCTGCTTGCCTGCACATCCTATTGTTTTTAAAGGACATCTTGTGCTGTAAACAAAGATAGGTGCTTTACAGTGATGGCTGAAATAGGATAGTTTCTCTCCATGACAGTGGACTGCTCTGAAGGGAGGTGGACTAGGCCATGAGCTCTGGTCTTTCGCAGACATGACTGCTTTTCTATACCTTTTATTCTTGCAAAAAGCACGAGAATGATTTTCCCACATTGGGAAGGCACTTTACCACATAAAGATTTTGTTAAAAACTTGGTGACTTCTAACATAATGATAGTGCATAGTACAAACAGCTCAGAATGGCCTGGTGTTCCATGGTTATTGTTTAAAGTTAAACAGACACAACTTTTCCACAAGATAACCTATTTCTGTCCAGTGAAAAGAGGTCACAGTTTTTTTCAAGGCTCCCAATTTTGTTTCTCTTAAACATAGAAGTGTGAAGAAGGCATTAGTATAGTTCTCTAAATATGATGGTACATAATAAGATGGATGGAAGTTTTCACTGATGCTATTTCTCAATTAGCAGAACTCGATTTTAGAAATAAATCACAAATGAGACATTCCTAGTGCTGATGGCCAGGAAGGATCAGAGAGCTGAATAATGTGACATTGTCAGGTTGTGGAATACTGTACAGTATCTGAGTAAAGTCTGGACTCTGGACTCTGATTTGGGCTCTGTTGCTACCAACAGTCTGAGCTGCTGTAAAATTAAGTATTAAACTTTGGCGCAACTTCAAGTCTGAGCCTTGTCCCACCACCAGCAACAACAAAGGCAATGCACATTAGAAATCCTGGTGTTAATAGTACAGCATGCAGCCTCTGAACACTTGCACATGGGTGCTTTTGCATAAGGTAACCAGCAAGTTCAGGAATGGCTGGGTGGATGCAACACTTCATCCTTGGCAGAGAAGGAAGAGCCCACTCCCAGTCCCACTGTCCTGTGACACTCTGTCATTGGACCTCAAGCCCCACTTCATGGAATGGGCAGAAGGTGAAAAGCCTACACTGGACGGGCAAACTGGACTGGTTCACCTTACAGTCCAATGAGCACTACAGCAAATAAAACTGAGGGAATACAACACCTTAGGAAGAAGAGGACGTCCCATTCTCTCGGCTTTAAGAGGTGATGAGGACCTCAGCTTATCATCTAACTGCAGTTTAAACTCTGGATCTTCTAAGAGTCACAAGATTGTGATGAAATTTAGCATATTTTATCACCATCTTTCTGATGAAACAAAAGAGTTTTGACTGAAATGATCAAGTACAGATAAATGTTTTCCATTAACAAAGAGATGATTGCTATCTCCTTTTAAAAATCCACTGTTTCCTATGCAGGCAGGTCATGTGCTAAGTAAGTAGCAATGCACCTCAGTCATAGTACCTTAAAACAGCAAATTTATTCCAACTCCTAAAAGACATCTTGAACTTTCATTACCACTGTTTGCTGGTAACTTTAGTATGAAGATAAGGTACCTGCCTCAAAACTTTTGATACCACAAAAAGTACCTTTGATATGCACTTTTGGGTCATAATTTTAATTATTTTTGTTAAAGCTTAAAAAGTACTAATTTTTTCTGGAGCCTTGGCTTCATGGGAGGTTTCATCAATTAAATACAACAATCAAGAGTTGTCTATTTTGTCTGAAAACACAAGAAGGTGAAATACAGAGTCTGGACTTCTTAGGGCATACAAGGCTGCCTTTCCTAAAACAGCTTTTATGGAGGAAAGCATGATAGCAATTATATGTCCTCAAAAATACGACAAATATTTACCTATCCACTGACTCAGTCCTCCCTTGTTTTGCAGGCTTTATCTGTCAAGTTTTTATTATGTGAGACTTAAAGAAATCCCTTCTTTCCCAGCCTGCTTGTTATAGTCTCTGCTTTTATATGCTGTGCTTTTAATGGAAATGTTTGATTGCGTTTACTATGACTTACCTTAAACCTTGATTTGATCACATCAACAAGGCTGTGAATTTGTACAGAATTCTCAAATAGTTAACAATGTATTCATTAAAGAGTCCTCTTTTAAAATTATATGTACCTTGCTCCAGAAAAGGAGTATAGCTTTAATTTTAAATCTTAGCCAGAGATGTGTGCCTCCATATAGAGTAGCTTTCTCCATCAAGGAAAGTAATATTCTGTATATATTTATATAATTTGAACAACAGTTTCTGAGGGTTTTATTCCCACCTCTGCTCCACACACATTTTGTACTTACAGCAAAAAGTCCTAGAACTAAATCTCTTTTTGTCCCCTCCACAGAATTGATGTAACTGAAGTTCAGATTGCCATAACAATGCTGCTCTTGATATCTGCCTATGGAGGAGCAGCAATATGGGACTATAAGGTGAGTGTGTTAAGTGCTGAGTTCCTGTTGAGTATTCTTGATAAGTGTCCACAGTTCCTGTGGTATTTGAAGCTGCTCTGTGCAAGTACCATCAACACCTACTAGTTGTGTAATGTTGTTTTAGATTATTGTGTAAGTGTAGGTTATTTTAATGTCATAGTTAACTTAGATCTTTTGGTGTGACTCCCAGTGCAGATTTATAGCTACACAAAGGAAAAAAGACCCCATCTGCCACATATAAACTTCTGATCTGGAGCTAGTACTCAACACATACTTAAGCTTTAGCAAATAGTTCTTGTCCTGGTTTTACATGTTTTGTATATTTTATTGTAAAGCATACATTTCAGTTAAACAATTTAACTTAAAATTTAAGGATTAAATGAAAGGATCTAATGAAACCATGGGATGAAGCCAGGGGTTTTGGTTAAGTTACCCATATTTGTGTCAATGCAGATGTACTGATTTTTAAGAATTATGTCACAGTCATGTAAATATTTCTATTTAAAGCATTGTTTTCTGTCCCAAAACTTTTCCTTATCTCTGTTTTTCATCATGACCTTTAAAGATGAACTTTAGTGGACAGTATCAAAAGATCTTCAGCCTTTTTAGGGCCTTTACTCAGAAATTTATAGTTCTGATTGGTTATAGTGCAAAGAGCCGAGACTTACTTTTCCATACTATTGATAACCAAAAGAAATTAACCTAAATATAAACCACCAAGAAATGAAAACTAGTTCAAAAGTTTACTCAGCAATTAAGGAATGTTCAGCTAAACTTCATTTCCTTTCCCCAGCCTTTTTTTTCCTATTTTCAAAAAGCTTGTTTTCATGCTGTAAAACAAAGTAGTTGCATTAAACTTAAATTAAGATTAATTTTTTTCCTCACTATCACCCTACTATCTGTGGTAGTTATGCTGTATCTCAAAAAACTCTATATTCAAAAAAATATAGTAAATAGTTTCTGTTTATTACTTCTTTTTTTAATCCTCTGCTGCCTTTGGAAGTTTCCTTGAAACTGCAATTGATTCCAAAAGGTAACTGTTTAATTAAAATTTATATCTGGAGACTACTCATGATAGTCTCATGATATGCAAAGATACAGCATACAGATAATGTGCCAAAGCACACAGCAGGCAGATGGTGTTTGTGTTTCCTGTGGATCAGTGTTGTTCCATCCACTGGAATAGAAGGAACTGTCCCTCTTCCCGCTCCCATATCATGGTGATTGATGGCAGTAGTCTGTGTCATGTTCTTGCTTATGTGGTGAAAATATTTGAAGAACATACGAAGGAGGAGCAGAGTAGGATCTAGCTGAATTTCAAGAACAGAACTTAAATACTCAGTGGCGGAGTTTAAGCATTACAAAAGATACTTGTTTTCTTAATAAGGAAACAAATTTTAAACACTGTTGTGCTGAGCTTGTTCCCAGGAAAGTGAGGGTTCAAATAAAACATTCGTTTAGTAGGTAAAAGTGGCTGCTTTAATAACTTCTTAAAAAAGGTGTTGTATGTTTAACTTTTATCTTTTCTTGTTTTGTTGTGGTTTGTTTTTTCTTTTTTTGCTTTGGTTTTGTTTCTTTTTTTGTTCTGCTAAGGTCCCTTTGCTGGGCTTAGAACTGAAGTTCTTTGCCGTTGTTGGCATCCTGTGTGGAACAGCACTTTCTTTTTTCAATTACTTCCGTGTTATCTTTGGTGGAGGGGTTGGAAAGAATGGATCTACAATAGCAGTAAGTTGCTCTAAAAATACAATTTTATGCCCATAATTTATTGTGTTTCAGCTGGTCCATAAGGGTTTTATTTGTTTAAGCATTTAAGCAGATGGGCATGTGAGTGTTAGATGGCTATAGCAAAATTCATTATCTACCTTTTGTCACTGTTACTGGATTTCTTCTGTCATGGGTAGTAGTCACTGCAAAGGGTACTAAGAGCAGTGGAGTAATGCTAATGGATTTTGACAAGTTTTGACAACTTTGGTTTTGTTTAATAGGATTTACAATACGTATAAAAATTGGACTTTACCATATGACTGAAGTTTAAGACAAATTTTCCATCTCTTTACATCTTAGGGAACAAGTGTTCTTTCACCAGGCCTGCACATTGGACTGCTAATCGCTCTGGCCATTACAATTTATAAAAAGTCTACAACTCAGCTGTTTGAAAAACATTCTTGCCTGTATGTCTTGACATTTGGGCTTGTGAATGCCAAAATCTCACAGAAGCTGGTGGTAAGTCAGTCCCAAACCTCCTAAAACTAAACTGGTTTTTGGCTTAACACTTACTGGATCAGGGGGCACTGTTTTCCTAGTTTGCTTTTCTATATTACCAGGTTAATTGTGATAAGAATCTGAACCAGACTCAGGGTTCCACAGAGAGATTATATGTGACACTGATTGAAAAATGTATTTGCTGTTGAATGGACTTGTTTTAAGTTATTCCTAGAGATGCACTTTCTGTCATTGACATCCTAACTGTGGTCTCTTAAGCCTTACTAGCAGTGCTGTGACTTCTCATTTAATTATCTGAAATGAGAATTTGCTGTGATCATTAAAATGAAGAGAGAAACTCTTCTGTCTCTATTCTGTCTTCTCGGTCTTTGCTTCTTGTACATAAAACACTCCTCAGTGGATTAAAAAAAAGTTGCCTTACTACATATTTACTATCATCAGTAATCCAGCCAGGTGCCTCTTTATCTCCAAGGATGACATTTTTCAAACACTAGAACACTAGAAAATAGGTAGTCTACAGACTTCCTTACTCAACAGTGAGAACAAGTGTTGCCACCTAAGGAAAGGTCTGCTTCCTAGTTAACTTTTGGCTAGGGAAAGCCAAAATTTTCAAGCTGGACTTGAAAACAATATTTCAAGTGGATAGAATTTGTTTTCAGCAATATACTTACAGTGTTACCATTTGAATACAGTGCTGGAAAACTAGAGATTGGAACCCCTGTTGATAGTTAAAGTGCATGGGTATAGATGCAACTTCCAAGAGGACATTGCTGGGCAAGGATGTGATGCCTGTTTATTGGTAGTTACACCAATCTTGCAGGGATGCAATTTTTAATTTATTTTTTTTTAAACATAGGTGGCTCACATGACAAAAAGTGAAATTTCTCTTCAGGATTCTGCATTTATTGGGCCAGGACTTCTGTTTTTGGACCAGTACTTCAACAGTTTCATTGATGAATATATTGTTCTGTGGATAGCATTGGTAAGTGTTTTATACTTTTTGTATTTGTTTGGACTTTTTTTGTTTGGACACCAATTACTGTGCTTTAAGTAATATTTAAAATTGTCCCTGTCATTCTGCTCTGCCATTTCTGACTTGCTCACATTTCTGCTGTAACTGCAGAGTGCCAGGAAATCATGTAAATATGTTTTTGGGAGCTGACTGGTTTCCTTTCCTTGGAATAGAGATGTGAAAGTAAATTTATCCAGCTTTCCTGATATTATGCTTTAGTCCATGTGGGTTTTTTAAAGTCATTCTATGAACTGCAGATGAATTTTTTTTATCAGATCTTGTGTTTAGTGCTGTTGGGGTTTTGTGATGCTTTTATTTTTAATTCTAAACTAGACTACTCTGTAGCTGTATGTTACAATGATGTATGTTAGGCTTGTCACTTGGATAAATTCTGATTAAAGTATAGCATATTTATAGTAGGGACAATTAAAAAAATATATATTTTTTAACCTGTTCTGTTTTGTTCTTTTGAAGTTCATATCCTTGTTTGATATGCTGAGATATGCCTGTGGTGTATGCCTACAGATTGCCGCTCATCTTCATATACATGTCTTCAGAATTTCATCTCATCAAGCTCCTGAGCAGGTTCAAAACCATAATGACTGATTAAATAGGTCAAGAACAAGAGAAGAAGCAGTTAGGGGAATGACGCAGCCTCTCTGTTTTTTGGGAAGACAGATTAAGCTTTTGAAGAAAACAATTTTATGGGAAAGTTCACTGTATTTCAGAGATTACCAGATGTTAGAATTAGTAGATACAAAGTTCTGCAGATGCTGTTGTACTTTCGAACTAGTACGTATTTCCCTGTGTTTCAGACCACAAACACTACATTTAAAAATGTTGCCATTTCTTGTTAGGTAACTTTAATTCTGTACTTCTCTTCTGATGAATGTAGACGCAAACCAAGGTGCTTCCAGAATTCAAAGAGGAGTTTCATGTTTCCCTAACCCAATTGTCTAACCCTGTAGCATTAGTTTCTAAAGTTTTGTTGGAACTGCTCTGAAGTGGTTGTCAGATATACCAATGAATTCAATCCTGCATTATTAAGACTGGTAAAGTGAGGCAGCCATGAGGTAAAAATCATTCAGTCTCTCTCCTGGTACTTCAAAGGAACAAGCTGTCAGAGCAGTAGGTAAAGGAGGTACAGCTCAGGAAAATTTTCTTCTACTTCAAAGTATGTTATGAGTGCCTTTAGAATTTATGCATTCTCTAGTATCAAAGTACATAACCTACTGCTACCACATAAAACTTTAGCTTGCACTTTCTTTCAAGGCCAGTTTCTGGTTTTGTGGTCATAGTAAGGTTAGTCTCATTGTACTTCATCCTTATCTAGACTACAAGTAGCTGTGTAAGGAGAGGACTCTAACTTCAGCCACCCTAACTTGTATCTATAAGCCTATGCAAGTGAAGGACAAAGTTCATTGATAAACTTCAATGCCTGTGGCTCCAGCACTGCAGCCCAGCCTTCTGTATTTCCCTCTGTGGTGTTTTTGCTGTAGCTGTGTTCACTTACCTAACAATTGATTCTATTGTCTCATAGCTACTGCTGTACTCTATCCAAACAAAAGAGCACAAAACTGAATCATAATGTAAAACTCTCCAAAACAGGAACTCAGGCCCAATATCAGCCTCTCTCTTCCTTTAAGAACACTGTTATCCACTGGGTAACATAATATGTCTGAGGGCTGTTGCTGTTATAGAAAAGCTGAATTAACTTGTTATCTGTATGAAAAAATGATTACTTGCACACAAACCCTATAAGCTTAAGCTCCTTTCAAGAGGTACTATCTGAAGATGTTTTATGTAAAAAGCTGTTGAATATAAGTGTGCATTACTCCTTCCAGCTGCTGCTATGTACCTGAGCTTCCAAGTTAATGAAGTCCTTCCTGAGTTAACCCATAAAGAATTCCATGGTTTGTTTTAAAAATACTACCACTGCATCTTCCTACCTGCTTATTAATTAAAAAATACTTCCTGAGGTATTCAGGGAACTTTTAAAGTGGTGTATTGTCTGCTAGTTTGGAGGGAATAAAATAGCATCTACCAGCCTTCCTGCCTAAGAAGAATATAATGAACCTTTTGAGGGATAACTGTAAGAGTTACTGCCAAACAACTACACCCCAAAATGACTAATATCAATTCAGAATGAATCATACTACTCCCGTTTGAGGCTGGAAATGACACAGCCTCTGCACATGAATTTAGCCTGAACCCAGGCCATGGTCAAATAGAAAGGAAGATAATGACCATTTTTCTTTGGCTGAATACTGTAAGCAAATTAACCTCCCAATGAAAAGACACAGGCAACATCTTTAGAGTGAAATGAGTGGGTTCTCCACAATGGTCAAAACTGTGTCCTGGCATAGTAGGTACAAATAGTTTTGAGGATATGATTGAGGCATGTGGATAATAGGAAACTAATGCAGAAGTCACTCGGAAAACCAGAACCATGACTGAATAGTAGCAAATAAAACCAAAACTAGGAGGTAATGCTAACAAATAACCACCTGCTGAAGGTCTGAAGCAGAACCTGTCACCTATTTCCTAGACTCCTGTAACTGTCCTTAGAGGGCTGAGACTCAGTAGTTACAAATCAGCATTGTTACTGGTTACCCATGAGAGGCCCATACCACTTCAGTGTAGCAGTATAACATCCATGTTTGCTCCTGTCCTGAATTCTATCAGAGGCAGAACAAGAAGTTCTGTACTCAGTACAACCAAATAGCTGAAGTTACTGCAAGTTAGCCATCACCAATCTGGCTTCCAGACCTGGAGAACTATCATCAAATGACTTGACTCTGACCTAAAAAATGCTAGTAGGCTGAGAAGAAAAATATGGTTTTGAAACACAGTGTTGTGATAACATCACATTTTGTGTGTGTGGGTGTGTGGATGTTTTTTGTTTTATCTACTTTTGTATTAAATCAAAGCATTAAATATGTTGGCAACTACCTAATTTTAAAAGGTAGATATTCGAGTGTAATGGTTTTCTGTAAAAACAAACTGCACGCACACTAAGCCAATGGTTTAGTTTGTACTTATTTACTGTAATGAGAGACATGAAAGATAAATGCTTTACCCTTAAAACTCAGGCCTCTCTAAATTTTTAGTCATTTGGAATGGCAGAAAATAATATTCCATCTCAAAGGCTTGTAATAGCCTGTACTAAATAAATGAGGTAGATTTCTTCTAGCAGTAGTTCTACAAAATGTAGACCCCAAAATGAATAATGTTTAATTATTGTTACTTGAGCAGATACATTAAACTCATCATTTAACTTTTTAGAAAAAAAAAAAAATCTGGATGAATTACAGCAGTTCATAAATCTCTTACTAATACAAAGATAGTTCAATGTCTAGACTAACAAAAAAAACTTAACAAAATTTACTTTAATTTACCAGAATACACATCATTAAACAATTCTGAGCTATGTCATACCCTGTGAATTTTTACAACAGCTAATATATCAGCAGACTAAATGTTGAAACTGTGAAGATTTGCAGCTTGTTAGAAATGCTTCTATTTATACAATGTATCTAAAGGCCTCAAGATATTATGTAAAACCTGGATAATGCATGTTTCATTAATTCTTCCCCTTGTTACAACTTGGTATTACAAAAAGTGAAACAATTTTAAAGAGTCCAATGCTCTTGCAAGTGGATATGAAATTTTTAAAAATCAGCTGAACAGACAGTGAATGGTTTGGGGTCCATACTGCTCCCCAGTAATAAAAGTTTACTAAGCTATGTTCTTACAACAGTAACAGACAAGATTAGAACAATCCAGGAAAGAGCTTAATAGGAACCTTGAAACATTTAAATCTCAACATCCTTCTAATGCCTGTACTTGTATCATGTTACTTAGGTACATGTTGCTTCTCCACTGAGCCATCAGAATAACATGGACTGAAGAGACTTGCGAACAGTTGCCATCTCCTGCTGTTGCTGTCACAAGAAAAGGAGATAATGCTGAACAAATGCTGTATCAATATGACTCCTTTGAATTAAATTAATGTCAAATATTTCATGTTAAATTGAATGTTCTGTTTTTGCATTTAACTGACTTCATAGATCTGATACTTACAGTGTCCATCATAATTTTCTTCTGCAACATTGCCATTTCCTTGCGAAGTTCATTTTGGGCACCAGCCAGAAGATTTTCATTGCTCTTCTCCAGCTCCTCCATGCTCTGAAGTTAAGGATAATATTAATTCAGAACTCCTCAGTGTCAAGGGGTTAATTAAAAACAACCAAACAAACCAATCGTTATTCATGCTACAGTTTAATTTTTACAGTGATCACAGATAATTGATGAGTTTGTCACAAACTTGGCAGAAGAATCATACAGGACTTCATACTCCAGTCTGCATTCCTATTCTAACAGTATGTACTCTGAGAAGTAGAACCCTCCAATCAGCCTCTGTGAGGTCTCAGCTTCTTATTCTGCATTTCAATTAAGTTAATAGTTCTACAAGAGAAGATTGAAGAGACATCTATCAGGAATTCCAGGGGTTCAATATTATGACCACCTTGCAGGACTTTAAGTCCACTACATTTCTTTGCACACATCTCCCCAAATAAGCCAAATAAAACTCCCTGGTTATCTTCCCTTTTTTCATACAATTACATTTACCTCTGTGTATGTGTCTAGTTGCATTTTCCTTAATTTGTATTTATTTAAGCTTATTTGAGGCTTGACTCCTACCTTTTGATCTTCTTTGAGAAGAAAAATCAAAATAATACTTGACCTTCTGTTCAGTTTTTCCTCTTTGATGAAGACATTTTTGACATTTTGGAACAGTTGTTATTTATTAATGATTCTCTATTATACTCAGTAAATTCTAACTATTTTAAACTAGGAGTTGCTTCATTTCAGATTTATTTTTATCAACTACCAGGCTTGAAAAAACCCAAACCAAACACCATGCTTATCATAACTGAAATTTCAAAACCAGCTGGGAAATTACTTGATCTGAAATTAAGGTTTGTCAGAAGCTGATGGACTTGAATCTGCCCCATATACTGGGGGCCATGCAGCTGGTGAAGCCACATCTGGAGTGCTGGGTCCAGTTCAGAGTCCTGAGTAGAAGAGAGACACAGACATACAGGATAGAGCCCAGCAAAGGGCCATGAAGACGATTAAGGCATAGAAGATTTTTGCTTGTGAGGAAAGCCTTTAGCTAAAAAAGTAAAATTTTTGTTTTTGTGGTTGTACTCAAAACAGTTTTGCTTCCTGTCTAGTATGTTACTTTGTTACAGAAATACCAAACAAAACACTGAATTAATACAGCTTTAAGTGATATGATAAAGATCAGCTGCCTTCCAAGAAAAAGATTTACCTTTAAGAATTGCTCGTAGAGTTGCTTAATGGTTTTTAGTCTCTGACTTTGAACTATTCTTGCCTGTTGAAAAACTTTTTGTTGCTGACGAAGTATATTCTGAAGCAGAAGCAAAAGAAAAACACAATTGCATCAGTTGTTAATCAGAGTACTTGGATAGCAGACCAATGTCATTTTTCAGAATCAGAAATTCTGCCATCACTGGAAATCTTGTAATGTGGATCTCTGCCTGAGAAGTTACCCTGGCTCTTACTAATGGAAGACTGACAACTGGATTAAGCCCTAAGTCACCTCCTGAGGTCTCTTATGACCTGAATTATCCTTGTAAAATCCCACGAGGATTGCTATGCCCCGCAGCTTCTTAGGGTATCCCAGAGGAATGTGTTACCTTAGGGAAAAGCAAAACTTGCAAATGTGTTGGAAGTACAAACAGCAACAGCACATGATTACATTCCATTGTATAGTTTCTATCCTCTTTCAGTGATCGAATTCTCTTAAATTTATTATATACAGGCATATTTTAAAGTAATGTATACTAAAAGACAACTACTTTTCTTTATTCCCTGAACCCAAAGACTTTGATGGATGGAAACAGCGTGTCTTACTTCTCCTTAAATAGCCTGTGCTTTTCTCAAGCCATATGTTGGCCTAGGACATCAGTTAACAGTGTTTATAAACATGCAGTGAAGCTTATAAATGCACCCCTCTTCCCAAACTTAAACAATCATATATTTATGTTTAAACTACATAAAGCATTTTTACATTTCTTGAGTATCGAAACAATATTCCCTCCTTGTGGAAAATACAGTGAAACTCACATCATTCTGGAAACTCACCGCTAGTTTTTCTTCCTGCTCCTCTGCCTTTTGCACATCTACATCCCATTGCTGAAATAAGGTCATAAACTGCTGGGAGAACTCATGATTGAGCTTCTGCCTACAAACAGACACTATCTGTAAGTATGACAAATGCTACAGGGAATTACAAGGTTCAACATACACGTGGAATAGAATAAAAGCTGGCATAGATAAAGAAATAAGCTATTTTGACATCTGACCCCATTTGAATACTGTATGTTTTGAAAAACTGAACACACATACAGAGTGGATGTGGAATATATCTATAGACTCCCATAAAATACTAGTTAAAAGAAATTGTAACAACTCTTCTTACTAGCAGTGTTAGGTCTTATGAGATTTACCATGTTTTTCTAATCTAATTATAGATGCTTGCTTTAGCACAAGGAGTTTACAATGCAAAACTGATAAGCTTATTTCTTAGAATTTTGTCCATACAAGTTTCAAATACAAATAAATGTAGAACAACACCAAGACACTTGCAGGTATTGCTGACTTTTCATTTTTAGCTGTCTCCTTTTTCACTTCTCTCTACATCTGGTATCAGATGTAGTAATTAAATATGCCTTAAGAGGTGAGAGGAATGTTAAGCAAGGTGAAAATTATTTACTTTCTTAACCAAAACGGTATTAAAGTTTTACTGAACATTTTTCAGTTTTTAAGTAGAAATAGAAAATTCCAAAGTGGGAAAAAAACCCCACATTGTTTTAAAATACATAAATAACATCAAAGGTCACTTTCCATAACGATAAAAGTAAGCCCCACTTTTTAATTTGCCTTGCTCTCAGAGTTCCAAATCTTAAATTTGTCTGTTCAAGAGAGAAGGTGCTTAACTATTACTGTCAGATTAACAAAGTGGACACAATGGGAGGCAGCAGAGACCCTGAGCAGATATTTACTATTAGATACTTGCTATTGCAAGGCGACAGACCAGCTATCCATCCTGTGACCCAGAAGGGAATCTAGTTCCACAGGCTTGAAAACCAAGAGTAAAGGTCACCTTTGCTCCTGCTGTGTTTTCCAAACATGTTCAATCTTCTGGTTACTGGTTTTGAGTGAGGCTTTTGTATACATCTCTAATCGTTTCCTCTTAGCTAGGAGAGCCTTGTTAATGTCAGCTGAAAGTCAAAGAAAATTTAGAAATTAGGCACACTGGATACATTGTGCCATGTGTGAAAAGGCTGATGAGTTACCCTTTGGAGAAGCAAATGAGATGTGTTCTAGTGACAGGAAGCTCCTGTGATTTGATGTGGTGAGTGTCCCTCAGCCTGCTGGTGGCACTGTGTGAATGCTGCTTCCTTATGCCCCTCACATGCCCTAACCAATACTTGTTTCAGAGTCATATGCAAATTTATTGAATTTCAGACATAAATTAAGGTTAGCATGTGGTTACTATCCCTGTGAACATACTGAATGAATATTTTTATACTTCAGAGAGACAGTACATTTTAAATATTAATACAAGTTACTGTGTTTTGTTTCACCTCAATTTACATTTGGAGATTTATCAGTTCACAGCTTAAGATTAATAAACATATAGATAAAGAGATTAAATTAATAATAAAAGTAAATTTCTTTTCCTTCTCACTGTAGGTTTCAGGAAACATCTGTCTAACCTCTCTAATTTGCTGAGGCATCTGCCTCTGCTAAAGCCAAACCCACTCTTTTGTGCAGACAGAATCCTATCTCTGATGCATTCACTTTCCCTCCTTCCATCCTTCCCTTTTTTGAGTCTAAAATTACAAGCAATCATAACTTCTTAGAATTGAAATCCTCCTCTTATCTGAATGGCCAGATCTCTAAAATCATTCTAATATGTAATACAAAATATGTAATTTTGTGACAGCCAAAAGTCCTAATTTGTGGATTAAAGAGTTACTTAAGGTCTTCTTTCACCTTAAATTTGACATGCAAGCAATGACTCTGTACAGATTTCTTTTAGAATGAAAGTATTATTCAGTTATTGAGTGTGTAATGCTGGCATTAAGATGGTTTCCCTTCCTTCCATGGCTTTTTGATGTTTGCTTACTCTGTGATAGGTATTGTACATTCTTTACAAGTTAAAAGTGTTTTTTTCTCTAATCTGTCACTATCTAGAATTTAGCTGGTAATATAACTAGGTGAAGTCACCTGAGGATCTGATTATGACTGTACTAAATCCTGCTAAGTGACACAGGCAAATCTCTCTTCACTGGATGACTGGCATTACTCACCCTCATTACCTGGCTGTTCTAGAAATTCATATTCCTTCTGACTGCTGAAATTCTCTTATCTGCCCGTTCCCTGTTCTCTAAGATTTCTGGAAGTGCTAAGTACAGACTGCTCTCTCATTCTGTATCACAACAAAACTTTACTTACAAAATTTTTTGTCTAGAATTAGAACTATTTGTTCTGTTTTGCTGTTTATATTAGCATTTACATTCCCCTTATTTCTCACTTATGTCTTGCCACCCCCAGTATCCTCTATGTCAGAGTAACAAAAAGTTAAATGAGACCAAAAGACAACTGCTATTGTCTCTTTTCTCTACAATATATTTACTATGTCTTAAAATTCATCTTAAAATTGGAATTGATTATACAAAGTACTCAGGCATCTTTCCCTTTTCCTTTGTAATTATCTACACTTACAAGCTGTGACTCATTAATATGCAATTATTCCCTCCTTTCCCTTTGCTCTCCTTAGCTATAACTTTTTTTTCTTTTCCTGAAAACTGGCCTTATTCAGAAATGCTGAAAAATCCTACAAAAACTGGTCATTTTATGTGAGTCTTGAAAGTTATTTTATGGTAAGTAACTACTTTCAACTCTGCAACTTTTTTTTTTTTAATTATTTATTAGAATGTAAATGTACTTACCTCCAAATCTCTCCAACATATTCTGTACTTCACCCCTACAAAACAGTGTTTCAAATTTTTATTTGCCCATTCTCTGACTTTAGAGTAAGACCTCTTGAATATGCTTAAAAATAATTTTATTCACATGCCTATTACTTTTAAGCAGTGACATAACTGCCACTGCCATAAGAGAAAATAATTATATTCCTTTTGTCCTCCTGTGAGAGGTTGTTTTTTTTCAGACTAATTTCCTTAAAAAAAAAAAAAAAAAAAAAAGCTAAAATCTATTAGCTCACTCTCCAGTAAAGAGGCACTATTAGGCATTTAAAGGGTCTTCAGTGAGGGGTCAGTAAATTAAATTTTCTGTAACAAAGAAAACAAAAAAGCTATTTGGAACACCAAAAAAAACAAGTCCATCTCAGTTAACATGACTGGCACAGTAAAAATATCCAAGGCAAATAATATCAGGGTTGTTTTTCCAGCATCTTTAAGATGATAACACCAGTGTACAAGGCAGTGTTACAATACAATAAAAACAGTCTTTTCAACTGAACAGATACAATCTGCTTGAAAACTATATCATTGTATACTTTATTAGATTTACTCTGCTCATGAATATTAAACTTTTTAAAATTTATCCATAGAAATAATTTATTTTTCATGCAGTGTTTGGATCATTTAAAGTATTACTAAATCTTCAGTTAAAATGAGAAGGAAAAAATTAATAGAATTTAATGAAATTATCAACAATTTAGAAGAAAACTTTTAAAAGAAACAAAGATTTGTAAGAACTTGCAAATATATCAAATTTTTCTGAATGTTAAAAAGTATCTACAAAGAAACTGAAGAATTGCTATTTAAAATGCTACTTTTTTTTTTTTTTTTAACCTACAACTACTGTATTATCTATCACCCAAACAAAGTAAAAATAAGCATTGTGAATAACTGAAGTTGGTACCTATTTAAGACCTGATTATTTTGAAAAAAGTCCCCAGACATCTAACCTTACCCCACATCATCTGGAACATGAGTAGTCACCAGAGGTCTTTTCTTTCCATGCTTGTCCATTACTGGTGTGTCACCTTAATAAGATGGATTATAGAAATATTTACAAAAATACACTTTGTGTTGGCTGCTTGAGTTACTAAAAGTATAATTACTTTTCTGTAATGCCATTTCCCTGACCACATCTCATGGTCAGTTCCCATCAGTAACACAAGCAGTAACTTTGAGCCTGGAGTAGACAGATGGCAGTGAATTATTCTGCAGGGCCAGACTGGAGCTGGCACTGCTTTAAGTTCTCTACCCTGGTCCCAAACAATTTTACTTTCCTGTCCACTGCTATGCCATTATTCCCAAGTCACAATACAGCAATCATCAGAAAGCTAAAAATAACAAAAATTTATAAAGTCCAGTCTGAATTTTACTGTAAAATAGGTACTGTAATTCTGTACCTTTAAAAAGAAAAACCACAAATAGATATTAGTATTATTTTGAAAATTACCAATCAAAATTACACAGTAGGAGGCTGGTGGCCTCAGGCATTACAAACCATGTTTTGCTCAGTTCCTGGTTGACTCAGAAGTTCTTCCTTTCTATTCATAGTAAATAAAATTCACATTTTAGAAATGTGCTAAAAAATTCATAATAAACACCTTCTCTAATATCTTCCTCTGATCCACTCAGTTTTCTTTCCTCCTCAAAGTCATAACTAGGTATGGTCTGATCTTCCTGTGCTGGTTTACCAGCTTTTCCTCCATGCTTTCTTCCTGATGGTGCCATGGTGAGATCTTTTCCTGCTGAAATAGTATACTGTATTTGTGACTTAACTTCATCCACAATAAATTGAAAAGAAATATGTTTTCATGCTTATATGAATACTATTAGGGTATCTCTTTAACAGTGCTGAACTGGTTTAGTTTTGAGGTATTCCACAGCATTACCCATCAGTGATGCTTTTAAGAATATACTAAAAAAATGCCAGGGCTATTACAAACATACTTGATTCTGCTGGAAAAAAAAATAAATATCCATTTTCTTAAGATGTCTGCCAGCTTAGCTTCCATAAAGTTTATTACACATTTTATCATATCCAATACTGTATTCCCCAAAAGCTATGCCAATATTCTACTGTCCAAAATAGAGAAATGATAAACCATAGAGAACAATGTGATTCTACAAGCCATCCCACATGATAATAAAAAATATACATATGCTTATGCCATTTTTTAAAGTCCTGTAAAACTTCCAGGTTTTGATTTATCTTTCTTTACAGCTAATATGCCTCTGCATTCTGTAATGTAAGTGATGCCATTTCAACACTGGCAAACACTTTACACATAGACTCTGTGAAAAAAATTATTAATTTATATACTTTAGTAAACCTCTCATTCTAGACACAATCCAACACAGCTAGAAATATCAGTAGGTTTTCCACTAACCAGGGCAGAGACAGACCTGAAAATTAAATTCACACATGTAAATTGAGAACTCCATTAAAGATCTTTTGACTTTAAAGGACTGTGAGGTCCCCCCAAAATTATCAAATCTCTCACACGCCTGTTTCCTATTTCTGGTGTTTTCTGGGGTTTTTTTTGTTTTTTTAATTTATTTGTCAATAGCTGTGAAAATGTTTTATAATCCAAAATTCCATGGATCTGTACAAACATGGCCACACTATGCTAAGGAAGAAACTGCTTTTCAATACCAAGCTTTTTCTGAGGTTGATGCTTCTCTATGTAGTATGAAGAATTTTAGATTTTACAAGTGTCTTGGAAAACAAATGTCCTTATTAACTAGAAAATCAAAAGCCCTTGCATTAGAATTATCCTCAAATGAGAGGAAATTGTCAAGACTTAATCTGCTTTTTGACTACTGACTGCTGAGGACATGATGTAAAGGAGGAGAGTGTTTGCCCCTGTGCTGCAAAGGCACTTTAACTTTGAATTGCAAGCATCTATTTTATCTGACATATAGACACTTTTCATTGTACTAAAAATCAGTTTACAGCGTAGAACTTCTCAGTCCTTCTCAGCCAGGTGTAAAACAATCGGGCCACCTCACAAGCCCACACAGCCCTTACCCATCCAGTGTAGGTACCTGTGTCTTCAATCCACAGCTGTGTATTTTAACAATGATTTTAGAGAAACTCACCTCTTTTTTTCCACCCGGCCCCAAAAAGATATTAAATAAACCGGTGCTTGTGTGAATTTCCTGCGTGGGACTTTTGACGGTGGGGACCCACCTCAGAGCAGCAAAGGAGACTTGGGCCCTCAGGCGCACCCTGAGGGGACGCACAGGCGGCAGGACAGGGCCCCTCGCAGCCTCCCGTTGCAGCAGAGGGAATGCCGCTGGCCCCAGAGCCGCGGGCCCCGGCAGCCCTGACGCCGCTCCGCCGCTGCTCCGGCCGGGACGGGCACGGTGCTGCCTCAGAGCCTCCCGCCGCTGCCCCGGGCGGGACGGGCACGGTGTCGCCTCAGCGCCTCCCGCCGCTGCCCCAGACGGGACGGGCACGGTGCTGCCTCAGAGCCTCCCGCCGCCGGCAAAGGGCGGGAACGGGCGCGGCAGGGACGGCCCTCAGGAGTGGGCACCGCCTGCGGATCCTTCCTCACGCTTCTCAAAAGCGTCATTCCACTTGGAGAACGGAGCCGTGCTGCAGATTACTATTAAATCATTAAAGCTGGAGGGTTTAACGTGGTAACGGAAAAAAAAAAAAAAAATAAGAGCTTTTGACATAAAGATTCAAAGAGATACCTGGCTAATTTACCAAAACGTGCGAGCTCGGTTGACTTTGAAACAGAAACGGCAGACAAAACTTTCATCACGTTTTAGTTAATTCCAAAGCAAGCCAAGTATTTTACAATACATATGCACATACATTTTGTACACCATCCGATTACAAAAATTAATGCTTTTTGAGTACTGCTAATACAATTAAGTGAAGATACACCACCAAAAATTTCTGCCTGAAAAGACTCAGTACTCTTTCCCACACTACTCTGATATCTCAGCAAAATACATGGCCAAACCCTGTTAAATTTAAAAACACCACAGCTTTGTATGTCGGTAGAAATATTGTTTTATGAAGTGAAACACTGCTCCCCATACTTTTCTACTTTGAAACTGTTACCGACTCATATAGAGGCACTTCTGCTTTTTTTATTTACAATGCTTGTAAAATATTTTATCTTGATCATTTTCCTTTGATTACAACCCTCTCTTTGTAATCAAGCCAGGAAATAACACAATTTCTTTGTGTATTCTTTGGACTATAATACACCAGATATAAAATATCTTTCAAATAAACCATTAGATGTTGTTACTATGTAATTTTTTAGTAGCATACCTTTCTTTCAAATCCCAATTATACACTACAAATAGGAAGATGAATTGTCACTGTGCTTTAAAGAATGTCAGTATCTATAAACATATTCTAAATTTAAATGACAGGTTACATAATTCTCAATTTTCCCCGGAGGGCTAAAAGAAGCAGCAATGACAGAAATTTGCAAAATGCTTTGGAATGCAAGATCAAGGACTTCTTAAACTGATCCCAAACAACTTTTCCTTCCAACATTTTATCTAGTTGGCAACATCCACTGCAATAAATGCAGTTACATTTGTTTAGGTAACCCTTTTTATAAAAAAGGATAACATGGCCATGAACTAAGAGCTGTAAAGTAAGATCTGTTGAAAACTGCCTATGTACAGATGTCCTGCAATTATTTGTTGTTGTTATTTTGCATTGTCACAGCTCCAGCAGCTTTTATATCATGAAGAGTACTGCAGAGATTCGAATGTTGGTGGATGGTTTTTTTCTTCATATCAATGTAGTTAAACAGCAAACCAGAAAAGACACTTATGAAAGAGACACTTAAAATGCTTAATCACAGCTTGAGGTAGACTGATCGCCAAAATAAAGCTCTTCTACACTTTGATTCGTTCATGACCAACTTCTTTTTGGATCCTTCTCCTTGGAAAAATCTTTCGTTTAAGTGCAATTAGCTGAGGAGAGAAAAAAATACAATATCTAGTTCTCTGCTGGGCTAAAGGTCCACAGCTGGTCAGGTTTTCATCCTAGAAACTATCAAATCTGTACCACCCATGGTAATACTCAATACTGTAATTTTTTTTTTCTGATTATACCTGAAAGGCATTTTTCACTCCAGTTCATCTATTAGATGTGCACATTTCCACTAGACTTCTCAATAATCAGAATACAAGCAGAAAGTGAGAAATACACCATGCCTTTATTCTGATTATCTTAAAGGTAATTTGTCAATTTAAATTAACACTGGACTACATTCTATTTTTAATAGATCAGCATAAAGCTGGCATCTTAAAATGGTATTTAGATTCCTAACCATACCACTGAGTTGAGTATCCCCTTCTAAAACCAAGTTACTAATGGAGTTTTCTAATATATAAAAAAGGCTGAAAATCAAGGGAAAGAGTCATGCAAAAGTCACAGGTGGGAAAAAAATAATAATCAAAAGCCAACCTTTCAAGAATTACACCCTCTTCATCAGACCACGGAAAGTGTTACTTAAGGCCCCAACCTGCAAAGAATTACCCATATGATTTGTTCCATTGACTCCCTCTGAGTTTAGCAGGATTAATCATGTTCAAGAAAGCCATTTTAAGCTTGCAGAAGTCAAGGATTTTTTCCCCTTGAGTCAGATTCAAAACCTTTTGAATTCAGTAGAAGTCTTTGCAATTACTTAGGGGAGAAATTTTGATAAGGCCTTCAAGTAACTTAAGATCCTTCTGGACTGATTTTCCTTCCTCTTAACTTACTATACACTTCTACCAAAATCCATGTTAACAGACCAAGAATTTCAAAAACAATTACTGAATTTGAGCATCCAAATTTAGCACACTGGTGATGGACTTTACTGTCACAAGGCACCTGAGAAGGTGCCACTCTCCTTCTCCCCATGACTCTCTTTTCAAGGAATCTCAACACGGTGACTTAAAAATTAAAGCAACCTAATCATGAGTCATGTAACATCTTTACTTCTTTTATGAAGGGCAAATCCTAGCTACTCTTCAAATCTATTTAAAAAAATCCATTCAATGTTATCCTGAAGATTCCACAATCTGTTAAGTGTTGTACAGATTTGATAAGAAGACATTAACTTTACCTGTTCAGCAAAAAACGAGATGACTGTAAATACAATAAGTGTTACTAGAACACAGTGGGTCCAGAATTTGAGCTTGTCTCTATATGCCCTCCTAGACAAAGAAAGAAGGAAAGAGAAAAACAGCTTCATGTATCATAAATGCACATATTTAAAGAGTTTCCACAAAATATGCAAAGGAAGTTTTTTGCAGTTCTAAAGGGTGACTAAAAAGAGGATGTAGTTGCTCTCTTCATGAAGAGCCACATAGAGAGGACAAGGGGCAACAGCTACAAGTTGGACTGGGAGAGGTTTCATCTTGACATAAGGAAATCTTTTTTACAGTCAAAACAATCATTTCTGGAGCAGTCTCCCCAGAGACAGGGTAGAGTCTGCACCACTAGAAGTTTCCAAGATATGACTGCTCTAGATCATAGAATCTTTTAAGTTAGAAAAGACCTCAAAAATCAAGTCCAACTGTTAAGCTAACTGTGCCAAGTCCACACCTAAACTCTGTCCTCAAGTGCCACATCTACTTGTGACAACTATGGTTTTGCAGTCACACTCGTCCTTTTTGACTGAACTGGATTTCCCTTACCTGCTAAACCTGTATACCTGTAGCCAGGACACTTGAGAGCTGGCAGGAGACAGTTTTCCATGAAATGTTGGACCAGATGATCTTTTGAGGTCCCTGCCAACCTGGACTGTCCCGTGATTCTGAAAATACTTTGATTTCCACCAGCACTTTAGCCTGCCTCAGTGCACTCAGGTAGAATCATCTTTGGCTACAAACAAGTCAAAATTAAGTGTCTTTTTGAAGCTACAAGAAGTCTTGATGGAGGGTCTCTAAAAGGGAGCCAACACTGTGTCTACACCTCCCGCACAAATTTCTAAAGCTAACTGCTGAAATGAGTTTGTGCCCTGCTCCCTCTGCTACTACTACAGCAGGACTTCTAGCACTACAATCACACCTACAATCCTTCTGATTCCTTCTACAGTTTCTCTAATATTTTCTATATTCTTATTAACAGCTATTTCTTATGATTTGCTGATCAGCAACAGGTTTACTTATATTAGTTTTGTGTCCTTTTTTGTCACTGTATCTGTCAACATTTTGTTTGTCTTCTGAAGTCAATTAATCCAATTTCTTCAGTTGTTATTTAGAAAATGGCAGGAGATAAACACACAAAAATTTCACATATCATGCAATATGTGAACATATGCATATGCAGTATGTGAACACACATTTATCTTTTTTATCCAGATGGTTATTGCTATGTGGCAGATTGAAAAAAATCACTTAGAAAGAAGTGTAACAATGGTTTGAGGTTTTATTTTTACATTTAAGGAAAGCCAGGATTCCTGTTTTATTTTTTAAAAACCCAAACAAAGGAATAAACCAACAACTTTTGTTTGCAGTAGGTTAGGACCAATTGATAAAATGTTGATGACTATCTAAGCACCAGAAAAACCCAAATCCTGCAGACCTCATATTTTAGTCCATTCAAATCTTACCATGCTATTTTCACTGTTAACTCTTTCATGACAATACTGGGGGGAAACCAGCTTGTTAGCAGTATCTTAGATAATGATATATTACTGCACTACAGAAATATGAAAAGAACTTGTGGAACATACCATTCTTGGAGTTCATGCATGTGAAGGAAACGATTCCGATATTCTCTCGGCAGTTCAAATTGTGAGGGGATGGGAAACATTGACTCATAAAAATCCCTAAGCACTGCTTTCACTGTTTGTGCATCCTTATGATTGTGATCAATATTGTCATTTAGGCAAACAAATTTTCTAGGAAACAAGATGACATTGTTAGAGTATTTCCTTGATAATATAGCAAAGGTATTGCCAAACCAATAACACAAGCATAACCCTTTAAAACAAAATTGAAACCATATAATTTTAAAACCAAACAGATATATTTTTTATTGTTGCATTATTTTAAATCAATTTTATTTTAATTCAAAGAACACTAGGATTGACAGCAAATCAAAACCTCAGAAGAATCCAGTGACAGGCCACATTTCTAGTTATATAATGCTGCCATCTAATGGGCACTAGAGTGTGCACCATCCCAGAGCCCATCGAACAGAGCATTACAATCCAGGTAAGGATTTTTATACTTTTGAATTATCATGAGTAAAGTCTCGTAAAGAACAAAGTGAGCTCCACTGTAGGAGAGAATCATACTAAATTATTAATATTTTAATGTGCA